ATTACCAAAAATTAACAACGACTCAGAACAACACCAAATTAAGGTTGCATAGGGTTCAAGAGGTGGGCTAACGATTGCAAGCATTTAAAACAGGTTTCTAACAGATTAAGACACTTTTACATGAGTGAGAAAGGGACATCGTTAAGTGAAATTCCCCCATAGAGAACATTGTTAAACGATGGGGGAAATTCCTCAAAGAAACCCATCGCTGTGTGAATTCATTGTTGTATGAAGCAATCGTTGTGCGAGGCACCACTGTAGTTCGATGGATCTCAACTAGAGGTGGGGGTATACGAATACAGATACCCCCGCACAGGTGGACATAACACAGATACCTCTGCACAAGTGGACGATCCACCCCTGGGGCTGGACCGTCCACCCACCTTCCACTGTTGCCACGGGCTCCACACTCCCTATTGATCCGGAGCTCGCAGTGTGCGAGCTACTCTTCGGCCTTGCAGTGAGGGTTGTCCTCCCGCCTCTTGCCAGGAGTGGCTCGCAGACCACGAGCTCCACATCGATAGGAAGGGAATACTGAGCCTGCAACAACAACAGAAGGTGAGTGGATAATCCGGCCCCTGGACCCTCGTTATGTCCACCTGCGCGGGGCTATTCATATACGAATACTCCCATCTCTAATCTCAACCTTTTTTATCTCATGGGTTCATATCACTATAATGTCAGTCCACAAAGCCTCATTTTTTTCGGGGAGGGCCATGTGTTGTGTAGGATGTTTGCAGACAGAGATTAGGAGAAACACTGAATATTGAAAGCAACAGTTGTCATGATCTACATATGCAGGAGGATAACTCATAGCAAGTACAGTTGATAGAAGATGGCATATCAGCCATGAAGGGAGACAATTTTTAATAATTGATATGAAACTTCTATCTGCTCTGGATTACTTCTATGCTCCAGTAGTGGTAGATGTACCACTGGTTGAGAGCCACTGATATCATTTATTTCTTGGTTCTTCTATACACAAAGGTTGCATAAACACTCCTCGAGCACCATGTCTAGCTCTTGACACATCTCTCCCCCCATGCTATTTGAACTAGTAGATCTAACAACAAATTGTTGCAGAAAATCAGCCAACTTGCATATCTGTGCTAGACATTTTTCTGGACTTCCAGTCAAGCCAAGGAGCTTGAGGGAAGTCTCCATTGATTAAGAACAAGGTCCATAAGGTCTAGGAGTTGGTTTCTTTAACAGAACTTTGTACGCTAGCCCATCTAGCTGCTCTTGTTGGGGCCTTTTACTCGGTGGC